ATGAAGAATGACCTCAAATCGAAAGCCTTCCAGCATAGTGTACAAGCCTTTGCTCTTCAGCCCTCGACTAAGACTTTGGATACATTTGCGCCTGAACACCATGAAGCTCTCAGAGCTGAAAACGCCTTCCTCCTTGGTGAGGAAGGAATCCCACCCTTTCGAGTTGCTCACTATGCCGAAATGCTAAAGGATGCTGAATTTGACGAGTGGCTTGCTGAACTTGTTCCCTACATCAATGAAAAATGCCTGGCTTCTATAGTAGGCAATTGCTTTTATCCTGGCGCCCTCCACGCAGCGTTGCGCCACTCCTCTCTTCGCTCACTCCTTGGAGAACCAGTTGAGCTCGCTTGGAAAGCCACTCCCTTTTGACAGTTTCCTACAAGAATGGCAGGCTTATTGCGAGCGTATCTCTAATGAAAGACGTAAACTGCTCTCTTCATTTTTTTTACCGGCGGCCATTACAAAGAAGATAAAAAAAAAGGGCCGCAACAAAGATTAAAATATTGTGTTAGTAATTTCTAGAAAATATATAAAAGAAGTGTAATAATATTATACCGTATGAAAAGATACTAAATTACTAATAAAACTACATCATAATTAGGAAAATTCACTAAAAGATTATAAAATTTCAATGAAAAGGAATGGAGAGAATGAACGAGCGAAGTGAGCACGGGTAAACAGGAAAGGGGGATTTCTTGGTCATTTGATACTAACTCTAGGGTCTAATCACCAGGCTAGTTCACAGGCTGATGATAACACACCTAAAGACCTAGCCTATAGTACCACCTTCACCATCTAGCACCAGGAATCATGGACAGGCTTTAACTCTAGGAATTAGTACTAAGACCGCCAGTGAATAACCCACCCTCGGGACCCCAACCATCAGATACTAAAAGAGCACACATGACCAATATTATGATTGCGTGAAAGAAGCGAATGCGTGAACAAAGTGAGCAAAGAAGCGAGAGAACGAAGATCATAAGATTTATTGTATTCGTTCACTCCTTCTATTCACTCACTACAACTCTATTATTACATCACTTCTATCTTCTTCTAATACATTTAAACAGGCGAATAAATTTCAAAAGCGTGCGTTCTTTACCTTTTAAGTTAATATTAGCCAGCCCGTGAGCACAAGGAAAAAGATTACGAAGAGAATTCAATGAACTTTATTACAAGCGAAGAGAACACGAAGCGCGTGAATGAAGTGAATGAATAAACGAAGTGGAGAGAGCGATTAACCTTTACTTTTCCTATTGTCCGGGGTTGTGAGTGGTGAACCTGTGATAGAAGTACGAAGAGAATGAGTGCGTAAATTTAATTTGAACTGTAAACTTGTGCACGATTTCATTCTTAAATTGAACGCACGATTGAACGAAGCGTTTTCACGGGCCAAGATTAGTATCTTCACGGCCCGTCATGTAAAAAATAATATAAAGTGAAGAGAACAATGTGAATAAGTGAACTTATGAACAAGTGAATTGACAAGAAGAGAACGTAGCGAAAGACGCGTGCAATGAACAAAAGAACGCAGTGAACGAAATACGCGTACCAAGACAGATGATTCAGGAAGTGAATGGTCAATTAAGCTTGTAGCGGTACCTTTTTCCCTATTTGGGTTTAAGGTTCCCTTATAAAGTAACCAATCCCAAAAAGAGGTGCCCTTATTATAATGTGGTTACTGGGCAACTAATAAGACAGAGGCTCATGTCGTCCACAAGGCATAAGCCAAGGCTACTGCTATAATTTCCTATTAAGTATATGGGCCAAAACAACTACGATTCCTACTAAGATATATGGACCGTAACCCGTTTAGGTTTATTGGTCCCCAAGGAAGAGAAGGGAAGGTTCTCCGGCACTGTGTACCCTTTTCCCTTTTGGGATTCAAGGTTTCCTAAAAGAAACCAACCCAAAAAAGGGTGCCATTATTTGCTGCAGATCCGGACAGGGTATTGCAGTCTACTGCTGGTTGTGTTCGGGCTTCCACGCTGCGTTCGAGAATTAGGAAGTGGTGCAAGTTTTCGCTCTGGTGCCTGGCACTTCATGACAAGCATTTCCCTGCACATGGGGGTTCTTGTTGATTACATTGAGAAGCTACGCGATGAGCCTTGCAGCAGAACAGGCATCTGCGGTTGCCTTTATCAAGAAGGCAGGTGGCATCGACAAGGCTAATCATTTTTCCAATCATCACTTGGTCTTGAATCTCGTCAATGTCAGGACTGCTGAACTTAAGGTTGATGCTCCAGCGGTGGAAGGAGCTTCTTTTAATGACATGATCATGACAGCGGAAGGTCTTTGTGGTTTCTTTGATAGGACCAAAACTAGCGGTGCAGGCAAGAATCAATTTTCTGCCTTTCTTGTCCGCACAAGAAACCGCTGCAAAGTTGTAACAACAAACCAAGCAGATCTCACGTAGATCGGAAGACTCAACGATCTTCCAACGTCCAAGATACTTCTTGCGCTCACGATCAACTCCAGTCCAAGTCGCCAATGTAGGAAGAAGCGAATCCGAAGAGATCAAGTACTTCTTCGAAGACACCCAGTCATCCAATCGCAGCACCGGCTTCCGCAACAGTTTAAGAAGATGCTTGGCAAGCGAGCACACATCACTGTAGCTGGCCATAACCGCTTTACATGCATTAAAATGTCTTGTGAGCCTAGGAATCATGTAGTTTCTTTCAAAGCCGAACTTTGAAAACCCTTCCAAATTGCAAAACCCACAGCGAGTCAATTCTTGCAGGCCAGCCATGCCCGCAGCAATGTATTGGCAAGATACAGGAGAAATTGAAGTCATTTGGTCTGGAGGATGCACTCCTCCGAGCATGCGACACACACGCTCCGCTGTGAAAACACAGCAGCAGCGCGCTGAATCTTCTTTTTTCTTGCGACTTGAGCCAAAGTTATGCGGCCTTCCGGAAAAGTTTTGGGCAGCAGTTCAAAAGGTCGAATCACTTTTGAGCCTTTTGGGTTAAGAGATGTTTAAGGCATTTTTTAGAAAAATTTAGGCAGCAATTGGGGGCCCCACTAGCAGCCGTTTAAGAAGTCTAATCACTTCTGAGTTTGACAGGCCAATTAATCTGGCCTTTTGGAGAAGACTTAGGCATTATTTAATAAAGCAGCTCACTTCCTTATCACAGAGGCTGTAACGAGCAGATGTGTCCATTGTGCTGCGCAAAGATCGACCAGCAGATATCCCTTGTATTTGACACACTAAGAGGGTGGCGCTGTCCACAAGCCATAGTGTTTGTTAACAGAATCGCGCTGGATTGTGATAACGCACTTGTGGCAAGAAGTCCTCCACCAAGCACTCCCCAGCAAAAAACAGACTTCTTGTTTCTGCTGGTTGTTCCAGGCACTTTTCCAATAGATGCCGGGTAAGAACTGACACAAAAAGGCCTTCGTTCAATGCAACTGGCACGTCACAGTTTGAGACAGACCAGAAACTTAGCAAACCCAAACCCCATGTGCAGAATGCTAAATTAACAAGACGTCTTTGGAGCCCCGCAGTGCGCGGTTGCAACAGACAATCTGTTTGTGGCATACACGCCATTTCTTGGCGAGGCACTGACAGAGGATCACCGTCGGCGCTTGGCTGCTTTGGGGTTTGCGCTTCCGGGATTTGTTGGGACTGGCAATGCACCGCTACGAAACTTGGGCACGAACGATGATGCTGTGGGAACCGCTGAATGGTGGCGGTCTTTGCCGGGCGAAGAAGCTGATCACCTTGAGGTTCAAGGAGGCGACGTGGGGGGTGACATTTGTGACGACCCTACGTCTGATGAGGACGAAGATGGTGTAAGAAAGCCACTCTATGGGCATGGCTGTCTGGGTCAGGGGCCTCCGCTGCGGTCTCGACTTTCAGGCCGAGTGCGTTGGTTCTCAGATGGACACGGACTGGCTTCACCAGGGCGCTGGCCTTCCCCGAAGAGGCCCACTCCTGCATCACATGGCTGTCTTTCGCTTCACAAAAAAATCATAGACGGTCTCCTGGCTTTACTGTCGCGTTCACTGGACATTAAGAAGGTCGTCTGTGCCTTGGCCACGGGGAGGATGACATCTTCCCCCTTTGCATCGGGACTGATCGATTCTGGGAGGACGCTGGTTTTTGATAAGCTTCGGCAGGCAGGGGTTACCGCGCAGATCTCTGAAGTTCCGGACCGTCAGCCATTTTTCCTTTGTGCCATTGGTGAACTGCTGCGACTCGCTGGCGACCCAGACTGGAGGCGGTATACCGAGGCGACGTGGTCCTTTGCTGCAGGGGTCCCTCTTGGGGTCGGAGTCCGACTTTCCCGGACTCCGGCTCTGTTTGAACGCAAGCATAAGCATCGTGCTTTTCCGGGGGTCGATGAGCCGCTGCCCGACTTGCCGAGGGAGCTGCCGGCCGCATACTTTCTCTTTCAGGAGATATCTCTTGTGCACATCGTTTAGTAAAGGTGAGGCGGGCCGATTGGGCCAGACAGGCCTGTCGGGCATCACGTCATGACAAAGTGTGCCTCAACGCTGTTGGAACCTTTGGCGTCTCATCTGCGAGCTACTGGTGGTATCGCTTGTTTTCTGGGTTGGGACGTTTGCTGTACTACTGCCATGGGGTGGATGAAACGACGCTCCTATCTTACGTGGACGACTTACTGTGGATTACCCAGTCTTCGGATGGCTTGGCGCGCATCCTGGCATCGATCCTTTTACTTGAGATTCTCGGCGTGCCTTGGGCTTGGCATAAGTTCAAAGGGGGAACGGAGCATTGCTGGATTGGATTTTCGATCTTTGCGCACAAGAGGCTTCTGGGCTTTTCCCAGGCCCGGTGTGACTGGGCAGTGAATTGGATACAACGTGTCAGGGCTGATGGCTTCGTTAAGATTGCGGACTTGGAGGCGGTCATAGGACGCCTTTCATTTGGCTTCACTGTTTTACCACTATTGCGCCCTTTTCTGGGGCCGCTCTATGCGTGGGTGAGTGCAGTGAGACATTGCCATACTTTGCGGCTCCCGAAAGCTGTAGCTATGATTTTGGCGTTCATCGAGAAGGTGCTTCTTCAAGGGTTCCGTACAATCACTGTGCCTCGGGCCAAATCTGCCCCTCAGGAACTCTTTCGCACGGATGCAAAGGCAGAGGGCTCGGAGATGTGGTTGGGAGGTTGGGCCTGCAGTGATGCTTCAACGCCTTGGGAGTGCAGGTGGTTTGCTGAGAAAGTCCAGCATACTGACGCTCCTTGGTTTTATCAGGCTGGCCAGTCATACCGCTCCATCGCTGCACTAGAGCTTTTGTCGACGTTGGTTGCTGTCCATTTGTTTGCACCTTTGCAGCCGACGAGCGCGACTTTTACCTGCTCTGCCGCGACAGACAATCGCGGCAACAGTTTCTTGACATCACGGTGGCTCACTACTTCCTTTCCTTTATGCGTGGTGCTCATGGATTTGGCGGCAGTTCTTCAGTCCAAGTCGCTCATGCTGGATTTGCACTGGGCCCCTAGATTTCAGAACACTGTGGCAGACTCTCTTACGAATCAGGACTTTAAAGATTTCGACCCGTCCAAAAGGGTTCGCTTCGATGTATCTCAATACCGTGGTTTGGTGCTGCGTGAACTTCTAGAGTCTGGCGCCGAACTTTACACTGAGCGCAGCTTGCATCTTGGAAGAAGCGAAAGGGTGGCATTTTGCCACAGAAGAAATCAAAGGCAGAGAAGCTGGCTGCAACCGACCCGTGGAAATGATGTGCGTTGCTGCTCGTCATTCTTGCGAAAGGGGGGGCGTGTTCAGGTTGCGAGCTGCAACTTGTTTGTATGTGGCGGTATGTCACGTACAGCTGCTCCCTTCTCACACAACTGCACGTTTTGTGATTCGCGGCAAAAATGGTCGGTGCGTGTGCCTTTGCTTGTCACGGACAGTCATGACAGTCATGTCCTTGGCACGTTCTGTTGGGTCGGCTTTTGGTTCTTTCTTGGCTTTCTTGTAGCGCGTTGAGTTCTCTTGGGAAAACTCCTGCCATTGAGTTTTACCTGTTGGGACACACAACCTAGAAACACGCAGAGTGGACTTGTCCAGCGGAGTGTGTTTCATGTTGTGTGTATTCTTGATTTTGGGTGCATTTATTCCAAAATCACGTTTTATGGGTCTTTGCATAAACAGGGGTGGTGGTTTTGCTTAATGCACCACCTAAAATGCTTGAAGATTGCGGGGGGTCCGCGCATGTTCAAGCTGGTTTTGCTTAATGCACCACCTTAAATGCTTGAAGATTGCGGGGGGTCCGCGCATGTTCAAGCTTGCTGGCAGCAGAGAAAATTTTGTTGCCCACCCACCCATCCCTGGGGCGTGTTCAGGTTGCGAGCTGCAACTTGTTTGTATGTGGCGGTATGTCACGTACAACTGCTCCCTTCTCACACAACTGCACGTTTTGTGACTCGCGGCAAAAATGGTCGGTGCGTGTGCCTTTGCTTGTCACGGACAGTCATGACAGTCATGTCCTTGGCACGTTCTGTTGGGTCGGCTTTTGGTTCTTTCTTGGCTTTCTTGTAGCGCGTTGAGTTCTCTTGGGAAAACTCCTGCCATTGAGTTTTACCTGTTGGGACACACAACCTAGAAACACTTTTTGTTTTCTTGAGTGTTGATGCAAACAGTATCGAATAGAAAAAATCTTGTTTGTCAGTGAGTTGATTTTCAATTATTATTGAACTCAAATGGGTTCCAAAAGCAGCTCAATTCTGGGCACCGAAAACGGGCCCTAGATTTTGGATTTCCTGTGTGAACATGCAAGGCCACCCAGGTTGGAGCTTCAAATTGGAACCCAAGTTTAGGAGCCATTTTTGGGCCCAGTTGCGGCGTTTTTTTCACACACGGGAAGCCAGATCTTCTGGCTTTCACAGCTCCTCGTTGCGAGAAAAACAAATAAGCCTCTCAGTCGGTTCCAGTCTAAGTCTTGTGTCAGTCTTCCCCCAAAATTAGAACAGCAGGCAGCAAGGCGGCAAAGTGTGAACTTGCTTGGAACCGGAACTTTCTCTAACAGTGCGAGAAAGATCGCACGCGAACAATGCAAGATTGCTTTGTCTTGAATGCCAGCTAACTTGAATGCCAGCTAAAGACAAGTTTAGCAAGCCAAGAACACGCGTATCGACGGCGTTTTTTGTTTTCTTGAGTGTTGATGCAAACAGTATCGAGTAGAAAAAATCTTGTTTGTCTGTGAGTTGATTTCAATTATTTTTGACCCCAAATGGATTCCAAAAGCAGCTCAATTCTGGGCACCGAAAACGGGCCCTAGATTTTGGATTTCCTGTGTGAACATACAAGGCCACCCAGGTTGGAGCCTCAAATTGGAACCCAAGTTTAGGAGCCATTTTTGGGCCCAGTTGCGGCGTTTTTTTCACACACGGGAAGCCAGATCTGGCTTTCACAGCTCCTCGTTGCGAGTAAAACAAATAAGCCGGATGCTTGCCCGACAGCGGAGGAAGACCGACCAAAGCAGGTCGGCGCCTCTGACAGCGCGGGCCCACCGAAGAAAAATCAACACCTCCACCACCCCCACTAGGCCAGGCCATTCGCGAGATGCCCCCTCCCGAGGGCAGGGGTCAGCAGGCCAGCCCGCGCTCCGGGGCTGGACCACCCTTGACTGTGTATGCTTGTGCCCGTCCTGCAACCCTGCGTCACACCCCCCCTGCGCCCCCTTCACCCAGGCGTACAGAGGGCCCCTTTGCTGTCCTTGGATGATTATGCCATTTGCCCTTTATGCGCCCGCCTGTGAATTCGCCCCCGAGCTGAGGGAACTGTGTGCTTTTTCGACCAAGCACTCTCTGCATGGCCCGCGATGCACATGCCTGCGACGCACTTTGCTATCGGGGTTCCCTACTTCGTCTTCGTCGTGAACTGAGAGGGGCCTGTTTCACTCTTTGCACCTAGTAAGGACGGAATTTGTCTTGTTGGTGTTTGGTTTGTGTTGTGTTGCCCGGCGGTGTCTGTTTTGCTGATAACTTCTGCTGTAGTTAAGTTGCACTTCCGACTCAACCCACAAGACCGGCCTATTGTGCTGCTGACGCAGTAAAGAGGCGCCCATTTCAAAAAAAGCGTCGCCCGACTTACCCGTAACTTGGACTTCGTCCTGGCAATGCTGCTGGCCCGCCAGTTGAGCTGCAGGTCTTTGTTGGTGTTTTCTGTGGATAGGAGTCACGCTTCAAGCTCTGAAAAGTTGACCAATGTGGCTTCAACGTTTTCTGCTATTGTGCAGAGTCGTTTGCGAGACATTGCAGAATGAAAGCTTTTGGTCACGTTTGTCTGCCGCGAAACGCGTCGTGTGTTCACACATGCACGTTGCGCAACGCGTTCACTTTTGCCTGTCGCGCACGCGTTCACTTTTGCACGTCGCGTGCTGTGGAGGCCCGTCCTGGCGAAGCCAGAATTGCTTGTGTTTTGCGGCCCTGAAAGCGGGGTCGCCCGACTTCCCCGAAACTTGGACTTCGTCCTGGCAATGCTGCTGGCCTGCTAGTTGAGCTGCAGGTCTTTGTTGGTGTTTTCTGTGGATAGGAGTCGCGTTTCAAGCTCTGGGGAGTTGACCAACGTGGCCTCAACGTTTTCTGCGGTTGTGCAGAGTCGTTTGCTGGACATTGCAGAATGAAAGTTTTTTGGCAGGCTTGGACTTTGAACAGCAAAGATATTTAAGCGTGTTGCAGGCCCGGATTTCAAGTTGCCATGCGCCCAATACAGAACCGAGTCCCCAGTCAGTAGGGGTTCCAGGGCCAGACGCAGCTGCCAGGCATTGCAATGGGGGGACCTGTCGGAAAGAGACATTGGAAGTGTTCGAGGTCCTGGCTTGCAACGCACGCTGCGAGTGCATAGCGCACAGCATCAAGGAAGTGGAGCGGAGCGGTAGTCGGGTCAAATGCCTGATATCGTCGGTGAACGTGGGTTTGGAGTGGGTGTGACCATGTTTTGAAGGGGCTGAGAGTAGCGGTGGGTTTGGGGTGGGTTCGGCGTGGGTTTGGGGTGGGTTTGGCTGGGTTTGACCATGCTTTGAATGGGCTGGGGTGGGTTTGACCGTGTTTTGAATGGACTCGGGGTGGGTTGGACCTGTTTAGGGGGTGCGGGTGGGTGGTTCCAAATTGTATTGCGGGAGCTGGGTCCATTTCGCGGCCCCGTTTTTGGGGCCGCAAGACGTGTTCGAAGCAGCTGTACGCTCGTCTTTGTAATGCTGCAGTGAGGCAGAGTTGCAACTGTGGAGGCCCGTCCTGGTGAAGCCAGAATTGCTTGTGTTTTGCGGCCCTGAAAGTTGGGTCGCCCGACTTTCCCGTAACTTGGGCTTCGTCCTGGCAATGCTGGCCTGCCAGTTGAGCTGCAGGTCTTTGTTGGTGTTTTCTGTGGATAGGAGTCACGCTTCAAGCTCTGGGGAGTTGACCAACGTGGCTTCAACCTTTTCTGCGGTTGTGCAGATGAAAGCTTTTGGCAGGCTTGGGCTTTGAACAGCGAAGATATTTAAGCGTGTTGCAGGCCCGGATTTGAAGTTGCCATGCGCCCAATGAAGAAGAAGATTTTGGGGAAGGGTGACATCCCCAGCGAAAGGGTTGTGCACGTGGGTTTGGAGTGGGTGTGACCATGTTTTGAAGGGGCTGAGAGGAGCGGGTGGGTTTGGGGTGGGTTCGGCGTGGGTTTGGGGTGGGTTTGGCTGGGTTTGACCATGCTTTGAATGGGCTGGGGTGGGTTTGACAGTGTTTTGAATGGACTCGGGGTGGGTTGGACCTGTTTAGGCGTTCCTGTACTGTATTCCGAAGTCCTTGTCGCTTGCCTCGGCTTAACCTGCTTGAGAACACAGCGAAGGTCACTTTCCTGCTGCGTGATGGAGGCCCTCCGCCCCCGTAGAGTCTTAGCAAAACGGACCAAGGTGGCGAGCCTCGCGGCGGAGTCGTTGTGTTCCCGAACTAAAAAACATTGTTTTGTTATTCCGGGAAACCTAGGACTCCACGGCGCTCTATTGGTAAATTGCAATTTGCGAGGACTCTGCCGACTCTGCCGAGGCTTGTCACGCCGACTCCGCCAGAACTACTGTAGCGACGCCGCGAAAGTGGGCAGGGGTAGAGTTGCGGGAAGAGCACGTGACTAGATTAGCTGGAACTGTATCAAATAGTAGAAGCAGAAGGCAGTGTGCGGGTGAGGCTTGCAGCTGTGACACTGTGACCTCCAAATCTGGGGTCGAAAAATCTAGGCAATTCTGGCTTCGTGTGTGTGGGCCTCCCCCTGTACGACGTGCGCATTTTGCAACATTTTTCAAGACCATCCCCGATGATGGCGTCACCCATAGCAGAATGTGTTGAGAGGCAAGCGGCTTGTGAGCTGTTGCAAAGTACATGTGTCCACCATTCTCATGAGTGCTTGCCTGGCATGTGTCCACCGTTCTCATGAGTGTTTGCCTGGCATGTGTCCACCGTTCTCATGAGTGCTTGCCCGGCATGTGTCCACCGTTCTCATGAGTGCTTGCCTGGTTTTTTCCTTTACATTTCTTCTCCGGAAGATTACGAAGCCTAAAAAGCTCGTAGGATGATTATTGAGCAGAGTTTGGGCTGATTATTGAGGCAAACTGCTTGAGGAAGGGTTCAGGATGATTATTGAAGCTAAACTGCTTGCGGAAGCGTTTAGGATACATACGGTATACATATAAATATAAATATGTATATATGTGTATATTTATATAGAGCCTAAACTGCTTGAGGAAGCCGTGTCATGTTTGGGCAGGGGTTATGCTGTGTGCGTCCGAAAATTGCCCTACTGCGTCATTTGCGCTCCAACGCGTTGCCAGGCGTGGATTTTCATTTCAGGACAGAGCCGCAGATGCAAAGACGTCTGACAAGAACGGACAAGGAAAATCAGCTTTTTTTGTGGCGGGAGGCGGGTTTTGGAGTCCAAAGATTGATGCACGATACTTTTTTGAACTTAAGGTGGCGCGGTCGACGGACGTGCGGGGCCGTTTTTATCGGCAATTCTCCCAACAAAATCGCCCTGCCGCGTCATTTGCACTCCTACTCGTTGTCAGGCGTGCGTTTTCATCTCAGGAGGGGCTTGCGGGTGGGCGGCGGGGTTTAGGCAGTCAGAGCATGCAGAGGCTTCTGAAAAGTCGCCAAGTGCCCAAGGAAAATCAGTTTTTTTCTTTTTCTCATTATTGGGGAGGTCCAAACATTGATACACGTTATTCTTTTGATATCGAAGTGCCGCGCGGTCGACGGACGCGCGGAGTGCGAAACGGTGCCGTTTTTACCGGCAATTCTCCCAGCAAAATCGTCATTTGCACTCCTACTCGTTGTCAGGCGTGCGTTTTCATCTCAGGAGGGTCTTGCGGGTGGGCGGCGGGGTTTAGGCAGTCAGAGCATGCAGAGGCTTCTGAAAAGTCGCCAAGTGTCAAGGAAAATCAGTTTTTTCTTTTTCTCATTTTTGGGGAGGTCCAAACATTGATACACGTTATTCTTTTGACATCGAAGTGCCGCGCGGTCGACGGACGCGCGGCGTGCAAAAACGTGCCGTTTTTACCGGCAATTCTCCCAGCAAAATCGTCATTTGCACTCCTACTCGTTGTCAGGCGTGCGTTTTCATCTCAGGAGGGGCTTGCGGGTGGGCGGCGGGGTTTAGGCAGTCAGAGCATGCAGAGGCTTCTGAAAAGTCGCCAAGTGCCCAAGGAAAATCAGTTTTTTTCTTTTTCTCATTATTGGGGAGGTCCAAACATTGATACACGTTATTCTTTTGATATGGAAGTGCCGCGCGGTCGACGGACGCGCGGCGTGCAAAAACGTGCCGTTTGTACCGGCAATTCTCCCAGCAAGATCGTCGTTTGCACTCCTACTCGTTGTCAGGCGTGCGTTTTCATCTCAGGAGGGGCTTGCGGGTGCGCGGCGGGGTTTAGGCAGTCAGAGCATGCAGAGGCTTCTGAAAAGTCGGCAAGTGCCCAAGGAAAATCAGTTTTTTTCTTTTTCTCATTATTGGGGAGGTCCAAACATTGATACACGTTACTCTTTTGATATGGAAGTGCCGCGCGGTCGACGGACGCGCGGAGTGCGAAACGGTGCCGTTTTTACAGGCAATTCTCCCAGCAAAATCGCCCTGGGTGTCCTTTGCACTCCTACTCGTCGCCAGGCGTGCGTTTTCATCTCAGGGCTTGCGGGTTGGCGGCGGGGTTTAGGCAGTGAGAGCATGCCGAGGCTTCTAAAAAGTCGCCACCTGCCCAAGGAAAATCCGTTTTTTTAATTATGGAGAGGTCCAAACATTGATACACGTTAGTTTTTTGAACTCGAGGCTTGCGTGGGCGGGGGGCTGAGGCAGTCACAGCACGCAAAGGCTTCTGAAAACGTCGCCAACGGCCAAGGAAAATCGGCTTGTGACCGCCGCCGAAACCTGTGGAGCGCCAATGTCTCGGACCTGGAAGATGGCACCAGCTGGCTTTGTGCGTACAACCCAGCATTCAGAGGCGAACGGGTTTCAGGGTTCAAGGGCTTGAGGGTTGACATAGTTTACTTTTCAGGGCTCCAGAGTTGGCATCTAGGGCTTTCTAGGGTTTAGGGCATCTGTGCTTTTGGCGTTGGGGGTTGAAACGGTTTAGAAATAAGGGGTTGGAGCTTCAGGATTTGAGGGTTGAGGGGGTGTCCTCTTCAGGTAGTTTAGGGTTTGAAGGTCGCATATGGGCGTATAGGGGTTTTCGTCCTTTTCCTTTATATCTTGCGGTTCGACTTCGGATTTTGTGCTTAGGGCTGCGATTTGAAAGGACCTGTCAAGGATCGTTCGTGGATGCAGCTGCCGCCGCATTGCATTCAGCTCCGACGTAGCCAGAGGTTTCAGGCATGTATGCTTCAGGGTACAAAGCCCTAGACCCGGAATCAAATGCCCAACAGCCCCGGTTTTTAAGCCCTGGATTCAAGTACGGGCTCAGGGTCAACCCAAACCCGAAACCCCAAACCGACCTGGCCAAACACGATGCCTGGAGCTTGCACGAGGACGGCATCGACGTCCTCATGCGCCGGGGCACTTCAGCGGGGGGGTTCGATCAAGGCTTGAACCCCGGTTCAGGTTTGAGGGGTTTTAGGGTTTAGGGTTTAGGGTTTAGGGTTTAGGGTTTGGATTAGGGATTGGTCAGGTCACTTGAGGATCTTTAGGGCTCCCGCAACTTCAGATCACTTTGGGTTCGACTAGAGATGTTCATGCTGTTTTAGGGTGTTTTTGGAGCGTGCTGCAGGCTTCTATAGGGTCTGGCTTTTCAGTGGTTTCGTCTTTGGTGTTGATAAGGCTATGGATTCCCATAGACGACAAGCGTTCTGTCGGTCTGTGGAATTTGGCATGTCTTGTGGGCTTGAGGACATGAGGGGCTCTGTAGCCCCCTTAGACCCTTTCCGCTGGTTGAAAGCCAAACCTGCGCCTGAATCTCGCGTCTAAACCTGCAGGCGTTTGTGTCCAGGTGTCCATCGACTGTCAAGCTAGACTGGCACCATCATGGAGATGGCGAAGCCTCTTGCGATGCTGCCATGCAGCGTGCAAGAAGGCGACCTCGATGAGCAGCGCACTCGCTCAGGCTCGCAGCTTTCAAGCCCCAGCACTAGGCTGCAGGAGGAGAGCAGCACTAGGTCTTCGCTGGAGAATGGACTTTGCAGGAGGAGGCGAGCAGCACTAGGTCTTCGCCGGAGACGGGGTCGACCGAGGAGGAGGAGGGGTCGACCGAGGAGGAGCAGGGGTCGATCGAGGAGCAGGGGTCGATCGAGGAGGAGGAGGAGGAGGCGGTTCAGTCCAAGCCAAAGGATGGAAACGTGAGCCTGACCAAGGAGCAAGCCCTGCAGATGCAGGTGGAATTGATGGCCCAATTCGGTGCGCCAGCCTTTCAGAACCAGCTCCATGCACTTGCCCGCACACATGAGCCCGGCAGCAGCAAGTTTCGGTCGGGCCTGTGCAAGATGGTGCGCTGTGTCCAGCTCGACGTCATCCCGAGGTACGGCTTCAGCGCATCTGATGAAGGAGTCGAGAGCATGCTTGTCCTCTTCCGATCGCTGGCGAAGGATCCCAACATTGAGGTCAATGCTGTGGTCATCAATGACATGCTGCAGATGAAAGTTGCGCCCATGGAGACGAACCACAACAACAGGCTCGTCGGGAAACCTTTGACCAAGCATCGTCTCCTAGACATGCTGCGTTGCCAACTCCACGAGTTCAGCCAGGCCAAGTTCCAGAAGGACTTGGAGAAGCTGAAGACGTGTCGAGGATGCCCAGTACTACCCTTATTCCCTTTTTTTGGGGGGCCTTCGGCTCCCTTATAAACCCGTTAAGCTAAAACGGACACCCTTTTTAATCTTAGCTTACTGGGCAGCCTAGGCGTGCCGACTACAACTCCGGCCGCGTCTTCGACAAAGCCAAGCCACTGGAGCGAGCCTTTGAAGACCCGGAGGGTTATTTCCATCTCGAAGGCCGAGCAGACCTGGCTCTCGAGGTTCACAAACTCCTGCTGCCCAAGTATGGCTTCGAGCCCTCCAAGGAAGGCGTGCAGGACATGATCCGCCATTGTGCGCCTTTCGTGCAGGATCCTGACGTGGCGGATCTCCTGGACCGCGTGAACGAGAAGCTGGGTATGTCGGCAGCCGCCTGCCAACGTTTCAGGAAACTCATCGCGCAACTGACATGAGTTTGGTTCGATTCCGCAGAAACCTGCTGGAGTGCAAGGTTTTCGGGCTACCTGATCAGTCCCCGCTGACAGTCCCTGTTGCCCGGTGAAGGAAGCACGGTGCAGACAATTCGCGAACCCGGAGAAGCGTTTTGAACTTGGCAGCACTTTTTGTGTTCTTTAAGGAGATACCAAGGCTCCAGAGATGTTTTTGAAGGTGTGGAACAACTCGTTTCTCAGTTGGACGGCTACCGGATTCGATCATTCCTCCCTGTCATGAAGGGAAGGCTTTTAATGTTTGCAAGGCGCATGGACTACTGGGGAAGCGCCCCGGCACCTTTCATATTTTCCCTGCGTAGGTTGGAGAGGATCACACTCAGGAAATGTTTCTACTATTTGGTTAAGAACCCAAAGGAATAAAACATATCAATTCCCATACTCTCCTTACTCCTTCTCAGGAAGAACATTTCAATTTTTTGGGGGTTCAAAAGCAATCAGCAGGCCGCCAGAGGGTTTTCATGCTCAAGGGGAGCGATGCTCACGCTGTGCATGCCTGGACCGATTGTGTAGCTGTAGCTGCTGTACATCTACTTACTAGGGTTTAAGTTTAGGGTTTAGGGTTAGGGTTTAGGGTTTAGGGTTTAGGGATGTTTAGGGTTTAGGGTTTAGGGTTGGGATGTTCGTTTAGGGTTTAGGGTTTAGGGTTGGGCTGGTGGGTTACAAGTACAGTTGTACATGGTTAATAAGTAATTACCATGAACCTCCAAGCACAGGTCAGGCATATGGACGGCGTGACACCAGACTTGTTTGATCAGTTCGACACCGTGGTTCAGCTTTTCCGCAATTTTCAGGGTGAGGCTGTGCCCATGTCGGCTGCTACCATGCGAAAAAACCTTTCAAGGTGGCTTGGTGAGTGCTGCAGTCTTGCTGCGAGAGCCTGAGAAGGAACACGTCAAGTGTTAAATCAGAGCCTACAACAGCAGTGCTGCAAAGGGAGCCACCCTCTAGCCTCATAAACCAAGAAAGAGAAATTAGAGGTAAGGTAATCACCGATTCCTGCTGGACCTGGGTTTGTGAACCTGCACTTTTGCGATTGTGGGCCATTGTGGGTTTAGGGTTTATAGGGTTTAGGGTTTAGGGATTAGGGTTTGGGGTTTAGGGTGAATGAGTATACACTTTAAACTGTTTGGGATACTATAATCCCCTGTAGAACTGAAAGTGTACACTTTCTGGGGGCTTATGAACTCAGCAATTAAGTCTAGCTGTCACGAAACGAAGGTGCCTTTGCAAGACCCCTTTGAAAGCTCGACAAATCTCAAGGCGAGCTGGACTTGTAGTGACTCACCGCACGCGTGTTCATTTTTACATTGACATGTTCCTTCCGTGACATATTGTCCCTACCAGTTGAGGCCATCTGTGTAGTTGATATGGAGAAGCGTGTTGAACTTGGCAGTCATAGGGTTTAGGGTTAGGGTTTATTGGGTTTAGGGTTCATGGGGCCTTCGGGTGTAGCGCTATCTCGGAGACAGTGTCGAAAGTGTTCTTGTGCTTCGGTATGGGACAAGGGATCACGTGCTTGCACTCAAGGGGGCCCATGACGTGGATCCCCAGTAACCTAGAAGTTCAACAAGGCTCCCTTGTTGGTATTGAGGAACCTAGGACCCTCCCCCACTCCAGAAAAAGAAAGAAAAGGGGCGCGCTGGGAGGCGCGTTTGTTTTTTTTGCTGCGGGTGCGGGGGCGCGTTTCTTCTTCCCGAAAGCATCGTGAAGGGTTCTTCCGTGCGGAGCCCTCTGACCCAACAACATAGACTGAAGTGCACAGAGGTGAAGTGCATAGATATAATTTTATATTATGAAAACCTCAAAACCTCTGTTCTTCTACTTTAATACGAAAACCTCTAGGTCTCTAGATTTTGTAACGAAAACCTCTATCTCTTTCAATTTTGTCTATATTGTCATTGTTTCCTCTGTATTTAATGTGGAAGGCATGAGAGAGGAAAACGTGAGAAATTTATTCTCTGTGTTATCTCTCTATTTGAATTCCCAATAAGGGTCCATGTACCTATATTGTTTATACTTGGGCCCGAAAGCTGCTATATGGGAAACCCTTTCAGGCCCAAGTATATACTATATAGTTACATGGACCCTTAGGGAATTGCAATTCAAAGTATGTTTGTTCCTCTTGCCCTCCTTGATGTGGAGAACCATTTTTTCGCTGTGTTGTAATCGGAAAACCTCTATTTTTCTCTATATTTGAATATGAAAACTTCTCCCTTGTTTCTATGCTTTAATAGGAAAACCTTTATTTCGTCCATATTTTGATGTGAAAACCTCTATTTTTGTTTATCTTACTCAAAAAACTTCTATTTTCTCTATATTTGAATATCGAGACCTTTTTTCTTTATATTTTAGTATGGAAATCTCAATTCTTTCGCGAGATTATAGTATGAAAACCTCTATTTCCTCTATGTTGCCGGCTTTAAAAAGCGGGGGGGTTGGTGGGGGTGCCCCCCACCCATTTGCAAACACAATGCTCGTATCACGGGTTTGGAAGGGCTTCGTATGCTTTCAAGCATGCTTGCCCGGCCTTAGAAAAGCGGGGGGGTCAGGCCCGCCCCATTTGCAAACACAATGCTAGCATCATGGGCTTGGAAGGGATTCGTAAAGCAAAAAACACGGGGTCCAGGACTACTGTACCCTAAACCCTAAACCCTAAACCCTAAACTTCTCAACCCTGAACCCTATAAGCCCTAAACCAGAGATAAGGGTTTCCACGTCAGGGGCGGCCCCTTGGACCTCAAGGGTCCTGACGTGTACGTGCACCACACTTGGAGGTTCATGGTACTTAGTAACCCAATTCAATATTAACTGTACTTATATCCCAATTATCACCATATTAGGGCACTTAAGGGGCATATAAGTGGGTTATAAGTACAGTTCTACATGATTAAAAAGTAACTACCATGAACCTCCAAGCACAGGTCATGTTTGCAAGGCGCATGGACTACTGGGGAAGTGCCCCGGCACCTTTCATATTTTCCCTGCGTAGGTTGGGGAGGATCACACTCAGGAAATGTTTCTATTATATTGCTAAGAACCCCAAAGGAATAAAACATATCAATTCCCCATACTCTCCTTACTCCTTACCAGGAAAAATATTTCTATTTTTTGGGGGGTTGTTAAGCAATCAGCAGGCCGCCAGACGGTTTTTTTATGCTCAAGTGGAGCGATGCTCACGCTGTGCATGCCTCGACCGGTTGTGTAGCTGTAGCTGCTGTACATCTACTTACTAGGGTTCAGGGTTTAGGGTGTTATTAGGGTTTAGGGTTTAGGGTTTAGGGTTTAGGGTTGAGGCTTTAGGGTTTAGGGTCTAGGGTTTAGGGTTTGGGGCTTAGGGTTTAGGGTTTAGGGTTTAGGGTTGGGGTGTTCGTTTAGGGTTGGGCTGGTGGGTTATCAGTACAGTTTTGCATGGTTTAAAAAGTAATTACCATGAACCTCCAGGCACAGGTCAGGCATATGGACGGCGTGACACCAGACTTGTTTGATCAGTTCGACACCGTGGTTCAGCTTTTCTTCCAATTTTTTTACAGGGTGAGGCTGGGCCCATGTCGGCTGCTACCATGCGAAAAAACCTTTCAAAGTGGCTTGGTGAGTGCTGAAAAGGCAGTGCAGTCTTGCTGCGCAAGCCTGAGAAGGAACAGTTCAAGTGTTAAATCAGAGCCTACAACAGCAGTGCTGCAAAGGGAGCCACCCTCTAGCCTCATAAACCAAGAAAGAGAAATGAGAGGTAAGGTAATCACCGATTCCTGCTGGACCTGGGTTTGTGAACCCGCACCCTTGCGATTGTGGGTTTAGGGTTTATAGGGTTTAGGGTTTAGGGTTTAGGGTGTTCCAGAGTGCCGCGGTCCCGACCCGCGCAGGGAGTGGCGGCGGGTCGGGCCGCCTCGGTGCAGCGGATCCCACCCCAGCCACCCAAAGTACCACCTTTTCGGTTTTAGAGCGGTCTACCCCGACCCCGCTATTAAGGGGGCTTTCACATGGCCGGGATGGGCGTGTGACTGCTGCTGTTCTTGTTGCTGCTATTGCTTGAGCCTACACTTTCCAACCTCTGGCCCATGAAGGCTCATGTTGTATATACTGTTGGGCAACCCTGGCGGGGGGCAACCCTGGCAGGGCAACCCTGGCGGGGGCAACTTTGGCAGGGGCAAACCGGTGGGGGCAGGCAACCCCTGGCAGTGGCAGGCAACCCTAGCCAGCAGGGTTGGGGGTGGGGTCGCCCGCCAAGCCTGCCTAAAATTGCAAGCCTGGCAGGGCAACCCTGACAGGCAGGTGGGCAACCCTGGCGGGGGCAACGCTGGTGGGGGAACCGCAACCCGGCGGGACCTTGGCGGGGGTAACTGGCAATCGCCCAACCTGGCGTGGGGAACCTGGCGCGGGCAACCCTGGCGGGGGCAACCCTGGCGGCCCTGGCGGGGGCGACGCTGGTGGGGGCAACCTGGCGGGGGGCAACCCTAGGGCAACCCTGGTGGGGTAACCCTGGCGGGCGCGCGGGGGCTTCTTAGGCCCCGACCTCCCTGCCGGGGTCGCGCGTCGGGGGTTTAGGGTTAATCCATTATTACATTGTGCCCCATGGCTAGCAGGGATGCATCAGGTGTGGCAAGCTCGATCTGCTTGGCAAAGCAAGCAGATCTCGAAGCGGTAGCGTTCAGTTGTACCGGCCGCCGCCTGGCGCGGGCGGCCTATGGATTAGCGTTCAGTTGTACCGGCCGCCGCCTGGCGCGGGCGGCCTATGGATTAGGGTTTAGGGTTTAGGGTTTAGGGTTTGGGGTGAATGAGTATGCACTTTGCACTGTTTGGGTTACTGTAATGGTACCTTTTGGGCTTATGAACTCAGCAAGTAAGTCTAGCTGTCACGAAACGAAAGTGCCTTTGCAAGACCCCTTTGAAAACTCGACTAATCTCAATGCGAGCTGGACTTGCAGTGACTCACCGCACGGGTTCCAAGGACAGGTCCGGCGTATGGACGCCGTGACACCAGACTTGTTTGATCAGTTCGACACCGTGGTTCAGCTTTCTTCCAAGTTTTTACAGGGTGAGGCTGGGCCCATGTCGGCTGCTACCATGCGAAAAAACCTTTCAGAGTGGCTTGGTGAGTGCTGAAAAGGCAGTGCAGTCTTGCAGCGCGAGCCTGAGAAGGAACACCTCAAGTGTTAAATCAGAGCCTACAACAGCAGTGAGGCAAAGGGAGCCACCCTCTAGCCTCATAAACCAAGAAAGAGAAATGAGGGGTAAGGTAATCACCGATTCCTGCTGGACCTGGGTTTGTGAACCCGCACCCTTGCGGGTTTAGGGTTTATAGGGTATAGGGTTTAGGGATTAGGTTTAGGGTTTAGGGTTTAGGTAGGGGGACATTTCTGCCAGTCATGCATGTTCATCAAGCTTTGGAAACCCCAAACCAGACCCACAAGCCACTCATTGTAGGCGAAAGCCTTTGGACCCTCAACCGCCGAGTCCTAAATCCCTGCAAGGAGGGGCCCCCTAGTTATCAGTAGAGTTAGAAGGGTGAGCGCATGAAGTTGGTGAAGTACGAGGGTTACTACATTGAAAAGGGAAGAGAGTGTCCAAAGCCGACATGCAAGTATTCACCCCATGATGCAGTTGACGACTGGCGTAAGCAGGTGGTCGACTGCAACTTCTTCGGGACATGCGAAGAAGCTAGTGCTGCCTTTAAGGGGGCTTTCCCTCTCCTCACACTTGGCATACTGGCTTGGGTCGGAGTCTAATCGATTGTGAAAATTGACTTGTTGTGTTCATCGTGGAGGACTGGCTCGGTTGCAGTCTAGAACTCCATGGTTGCACTTGGAGTGGTTCCATTGCATAGGAACTGGACTGCAAAGCAGGCAGTTTTCCGGTGCATGTTTCTGGCTGCTTGGGCAGCCGTGCTCAGGCCGGCATATCCATTCATGACACACCGAACAAGGGTGTCAAGTTCACGACGCATGACTCGCAGATGGATAGATGGGTGTGCACCAGGGGTTCGACTTTGCAGTTGTAGTGCCACTATGTCGCTATGTTCATATATCATATAGTTCTTAGATTTCTTGGGTATCTTGGAATCATGCAGGGGACACGACAGACGGCACGATAGACCCCAAATGGATTCCAAGTGCATCCTGGCAGTATCCGACTGCTGCCTGAATTCTGCACGAAATCACGAGGCTCTGCACCGTCACCTCAACATCCTGAACGTGCTCAAGCGGTGCTCTTAACATGCAGAGGGAACCATGCTTGGAAGCTATTTGCCTCGAACCTGTTCAATTCATGGTGAGCAAAGCGCCCTGATATGGATCCCTAGGCTACAATGTAGGTTTAGGCTACAATTTAGGGTTCAGGGTTTAGGGTTAAACGATGAGTCTTTTCATGTGTTTAAAAGTTCTTGGTGGAACATGTGCCTTGACCGCATCTCGCTGCATGATGTATGAAACAAAGCTGCAATGAAGGCATGTTCTGTTGTCGTGTTGCCCGGTTGTCATCTAGCCTGTTTTCGATAGTGGTTGGATTGGCATCTGCCTGTGGGTCGCACAGTTCCGCCCAGTCGGTTCGCCTAAAAATCAGCACATAATCCAGAAATAGGCATTCCAAGTCTCTTTCTCTTTGTCCTTTTGGTGTCTAGAGCTCTTGCCCAGTTCGCGCAGAGGTGGCTCCAGCTGCGCGTGTGGCGCCCCCTCTGGGCCTTCGCTCGTGTGCGGGAGGCGGTCGTGCGGAGGCTGTGTCAGATGAATGCACAAAACTCTGATTGAATGCTGGTCCCCAACTACATCGAAAAGGGGATCAGATCCATTTTTCTACCTATTTTTGGGTTTGCCTGGGTGGCCGAGGATCCTGGAATTCAAAAGACTGCGGCAGTGCGGTGATGCACGTTGCAGTTCTGTGTATTGCGCGCTTAAGGATATAGGATTTTCTGGGATGACACGTGACTAAGTTGAACACTGGCGAAACACTGAAAGCTTACCAGCTAGAAACACCATGGTTTGTGGCACGCGCTGCAGAACCAGCCTGCGTCGCGTGCGCTGCGGGGCCCCGGTGCTTTGACGTTTGGGGTCTGCACATGCGTTCAAGATTGCAGTAAACGCACATATATACATATTATATATATATATATATATTATATGTAGATATGGTATAGTAAATAGAATATATGTTTCAGCAGATTTTGGCGAAAAGAGAAGTTGCGGGCCTGATGGCTTTCGGGGCTTGGTATTTAAGATGCAGGGTTTCAGCGCCTAAAGAAGCCCTAAACTACTAAACTTATAGGGTTCTTAAGAGGGGGGGTTGGTTTTCCAAAAATGTGGCGCGGGTGCCGATCCTCTGCAAGCCATGATGAATCATAATAAAGCAAAGTCGGGTTCCAGGTTTGGGTCAGGCTTAGGATTGAGAGATATTGAGAGTGTGGGGTGTCAGGATCGGAATATGCAGAAGACAAGGTCAAACACCTGATCCCGTGCATCATGTTCTAGTGTCTGCGCACTTTGTCTGTAGGCTTTTCCCCGCGCCGCGCTCAGAAGCAGGAGCCAGGTGGGGTTTGTGCGCCCTCACAAGTAGCGGTACGCCCTTGATTTGCATAGGTTACTGATTTTGACGCCAATGGTCGTATCTGAACGCTCTTGTCAGGAATGTTCTTCGAGCGTTTGGGAATGGTTCAGGGGTTGGGGCTTTGGCTTTGACAGACACCGCCATCCAAGCCATGGGTGCCTACCGGAGTGTCCGCGGCTTCACGATTTGCCTCACGATCTGGACCTTAGTAGCATCACAGGAGCTGTTCTCGATCCGCAGCGTGGTTGCACCCAATAAGTGCATCGTTGTCGCTGAAGACCGTTTCGTTGAACTTGGAGACTGTGACGGCAAATGGGCTGATCGTCGCATATGGTATTTCAACAAGACATGGCTTGTCAACAGGAACTACACCTACGACGGTGGAGTGCTCTGCCTTCAGTTTGACAGCTCGTACTTTTACCCTGACCATGGAAGACCTCTTCGGGTAAACGTCTGTATAGAAGGCCAGCTCAACATGCATTGGTATTGGGCAGGCGGCCGCATCAGACACCTTCATAGTGCCTACGTTCTTGACCTTCCGGGCATCAACATTACGGACTTCGCGCCCTTCACGGCGGAGGCCCAGCATGTGGCAATAGAAAGCAAGGACAAAAACTGCAAGAATGACAGTAAGGAAATCGTAGTCATCACGGTGGAGCAAAGTTTGCGTTCAGAGGGTCGTAGTTTACGTCATGGTCGTTGTCATAAAAAAGAGCTGAAACATCCCGGAGGTCTGGAGCCGGAGCGGGGACCCCCAAGTCCAGCTTGGAATAGAAACTCAGCTGGTCTGGAGGGTAAGTTGCCAGCTTAGGGGTTCCGGTTCCCGGGTTACTTGGGTTATAAGCACAGGGTTAGGGTTTATGAGGGTTTAGGGTTTAGGGTTCTTGGGGGTGCAGGGTTTAGGGTTTTGGGTCTAGGGTTTAGGGTTTGGGTAAGCGTTTGCACCCTTGGGGTTCCTACGTAGGAAATTGATGGCCCCGGTTGGCGTGCCTAAATGGATGGCCTGGAGGCTCCTACTGGGTTTAGGGTTTAGGGTTTAGGGTTTAGATGGGTTTAGGGTTTAGGGTTTAGAGTATACATGGAGGCTCATGGTACGTAGAACACAGAACCCTAATTATAACTCTACTTATAAGCCCCCTCAGTCCCCTAAGTACGTAATAAGTAGACTTATAACTGTGGTTATCAGTACCCATAAACCTCCAAGTAGGGTTGAGGGTTGAGGGTTTAGGGTTTGGCTTGGCGTGGGTTTTGGGTTTTAGGTGGGGGAGGTTGGGGAGGATACCATGAAGGGGGTGACTGCTGACATGGCAACATATATATATATATACACATGCACACATATAATTGTAGGCTTTGGGGTTTTCAAGGTGGTCATCTAAGGAAGACTCGTACAGCCTCAGTGACCAGCAATTCTTCGCGCATGTGGAGACGACCCTGGGGCCTCCCGATGGTTTCGAAACTGTCAGACGCGAGGCGGAAGAGGTGTTTGAGGTGTCGATACCCAATGTCTGTCCAGATGGATCGATTGGTGAACGAAATTTGTGTGCATTTGAGCATAAGTTGGGCACAGGATTGTTGTGCGAAGGCGGCCCTGTTAGCCGTCGATGTGTGTGTTTCAATGGCTACTTTGTTCACGTGATTGCACGTACAGCCTTCGCACCTGACTGGGGCCTGTCGCAGTACACGTGCTGTGAAGGGGAGGGCACCTCCGAACCGTGCGGAGATTGGTACTTCCTGGGCCCCCTTGCTGCTGCTGTGCTTGCGCTGGGGGTTGCGGGTGTGGTGACAGCAACTCTTATGATCCAGTACTGCCCTCCGACCATTGCCCCGGCCAACGAAGAGGACCTCCAAGTTCTGGCGCCCCAACATGTCCTTGACGGTGCGACTTTGCACGCAACCGTGGAGCCGGCAAAGTGGGGTGTGAGCCTGGGTTGCTCTTAAGGAAAATTAAGTTGTTACAATATGAAGACATACTACATATTTTCGGGGTCTCCATATTTTGGCAACTTCATCTCAGCAGTAGCCAAGGAGCTTGGATGATTTGAGGCAATTCAAGCGCCTGGTGCATCATGGCATTCAATCTGGACGAGTTCGCCCCACGGACTTGGACCCATTCTCCATAGCAGACATCACTCAAGGGCCCACAGCCTATACGGTCAATGAGCAGCTGATCAAGCCGGTTACAGCAGCCGCTGGCAATGTGAGTTGGGCCTTAATGAAGTATCCTGCAGGCTTGTTGTGTGAAGTCTTCGTCACGCACGCATGGGCGGAAGGCATCTTTGACTTCGTGGACAAAGTGGCGCACTCATGGCCGCGGGGAGCCGTGGGAGCGTACGTGTGCTTCCTCTCCAATCCTCAGAACCAGGACATCGCAAGCTTGATCCAGAACCCCAGGGAGTCACCTTTTGCCAATGCCTTGCATCGCTCGTCATCCGTTCTCGCGATGCCAAACCGTGCAGTTAGCATCTACACGCGCGTCTGGTGCGTGTACGAAGCATTTTTGGCGTCCTCATGGGATAAGCCGATTCGGATTGCAACCCGACCCTCTGTCAGCCAATGGCCCAAAGTTGTCCGCGTGCCCTGTGCTGGCCTCGCAGCCTGCGGAACAGGGATCCTGGTCGTCATGTCCCAGGCGACAGGGTTGCTGTTAGAAGGAGTTCTGTTTTTCGTTACCGCAGTTTTTCGGCCATATAGTGCCGCGTGGGGTTCCACCTCGTTGCTTGGGTAACAGAGGCATTTTGTTCCTTAGCAGCCCAGGCCAAGTTCTACGGCTTCACCAGAGCCTCGCAGGATTTACTCACCATCCTCGACCTCGCATTTCTGGGGGTGGCGGCTGCATGTGGAAGCCCTTTGCTGGCGCTGTACTCGTTTCGGAAGCTCCACTCGCCCGTGAGCCAGATGGCAATTTATGGCATGACCATTTTTCTCGCACTCGCTCTGGCCATTCGTCTTTGCGTCCACGGGTTCTTGGATGCGACGGTAATGATTGCAACTCTCACAGCATTCTTGGGCGTGACTGGGTTGGAGGCAGACCGGCAGCGTGCCATCGTTGCTTCGAGGCAAGCAAATGAGCTTGGGAAAGAGTTCACTGGCACGGTTCGGAATGCCACGAGCTCCAACGAAGATGACTCGCGTAAAATCTTCACTGAGATTGAGGAAAATGGCCAGGCGGAAGCCATTGACCAAATGGTGGGCTCACTAATCGCGACCAATATCTCCACGAAGCAGATGCGCCTAACCATGGAGGTTACTGGCCGACTGGGTGATGCGTCGCGCTGGAGCAGGACCATTCTGGTCCTCAGCCTCTGCTTCCTGATCTTCCAGTGCCGGCAGGTGCACGCGTATCGCTTCAATGAGACTTAGGGGTACTTGGAAATAAAGGTTAATTTTGGGTATTATAATTCCTAAGAAACAGCATTAAAAACATATTTTTGCCAGGGTTCCAAGTTCAGTACAGGAGAGTGGCGCTGCCCTTGGATGGCTTCTGTTGGGATCTGCTTGTCTCGAAGCCCTCCTCTGGCCCTTCATCTTCTTTCGGCTCCCGATTGAGTCTAAAGCCTTCGCAGACACTGGGTCCTTGTCGGTTACAACTTTACTTTTTTGTCATATTAAATTCCCAATAAGGAGAAACATGATTCTTTTTTAAAGAATGTAACAATGTAACCCCAAGAATGAAGCAGGAAAGATGCTGCAAGCTATTCTTGGTGCTTCTTCCTGGCATGGTTGGTCTTTGGGGCGGTCTCTCCTACGACGTCGCCGCCCACCTGGGTGTCTTGGTCATAGTCGGGTCCAGGTAACATGTAAGAGTACTTAGACCAATAAGGAATAGAAATCTAAATCTCTAATACTATCCCAACCATGCACTAGGTGTGATCCCGCTCATCCTCGTCATGACCATCCTCGGACCTCTGCGCGTATCACGTCTGCCTCTTGTTGGGGCCCCACTGGTGCGCATGCTCTTTGGACGAAGCCCCTGTCGAGCGAGCGGGCTGAAGCGTGAGGGCGCGCCGTCAGTGCAGCGTGATGCTGGTGACGGTGGAAACAATGACACCTTCTCGATGTGACCATTTTCAAGTTTGTGAGTATCAAGAGAGAACTTATCGGTGGGAACAGGGCTCCTAGCATTGTAGACCCGAATGTCTTTGTTGACAAGTCTGCCTCATTTTTTGTCGTTGCTGCAAATGCAGTGGGGACTTCTGCCCTCAAGGGGCTTAGTCCTCATACGCGCCTTGCACGGGGCCTGGCCCTCCCTTTTCATATTTCATTTTGCTGAGCATTTGCATTCCAGAGATTAGAATTGGCGCCGAAATTGGCGTCGGGCATGGAAGTAACTTTGCCAAAGCCTGCCTCCCGAACTCGTAATACCAAAAGCCCTAACCCTGAACCTAATGGTGAAGTGGCTGAATAAGAGGACGGACGTGTTGAGCTTGCTGGGGCTTAGGGTGCGGTTTAGGGTTTCGGGTTTCGGGTTTCGGTTGTCGGTATGGTTTGTGCCTTGAACAGAGGCCATATTGATCCGTCATGCAGAGGTCAAGCGACGAAGGGCCCCTTCAAGGGGCGCTAGACCCCAGGCATTTGAGTTGCTACTGAAGCAGTGTGATCTCAGCGAGCCGTGTGCAGAGATTCAGCCAGAAAAGCACGTCTCTCGGGCACTCGCATGCTCTTAGAGCAGTGCTTGCTACTTGGACCTTGAAAGCTATGCCCGATGCTCATGGTTTGTGATGCTTGCATATGCTTGCATTCAGGTGTCGCGTGACTGTGCCGGTTCCCAGCTTTGAAAGGCAGGCTCCCTTCTCCGGTCCCCGTTTTGTTCTCGTGCGCGCTTCGGAAGCATGGCCGACTCCAAGGTGAAGGACATGGGTCTGGCCGAGTTCGGCCGCAAGGAGCTGACGCTGGCAGAGCACGAGATGCCTGGCCTCATGGCCGCGCGCAAGGAGTTCGGCCCCTCGCAGCCATTCAAGGGCATGAACATCAACGGCTCCCTGCACATGACCATCCAGACAGGCGTGCTGATCGAGACGCTGTCCGCCCTGGGTGCCAAGGTGCGCTGGTGCTCGTGCAACATCTTCAGCACCCAGGACCACGCTGCGGCCGGCATCGCCAAGGCGGGCACCGCCACGGTCTTCGCGTGGAAGGGTGAGACTCTTCCCGAGTACTGGTGGTGCACGGAGCAGATGATGACCGTGCCCGGAGCCGATGGCTGCGACCAGCTGGTGGACGACGGCGGTGACGCCACTCTGCTCATCCACAAGGGCAAGGAGTTCGAGGAGAAGTTCGCCAAGGACGGCAGCCTGCCGGACCCCTCCAGCACCACCAATGCCGAGTTCAAGTGCATCCTGCAGCTGCTCAGGGATTCGATCCAGGTGGACAAGACCAAGTACACCCGCATGGCGGCCAAGTGCAAGGGCGTCAGCGAGGAGACAACTACTGGCGTGCATCGTCTGCGAGAGATGGCGGCCAAGGGCGAGCTCCTGTTCCCGGCCATCAACGTCAACGACTGCGTGACCAAGTCCAAGTTCGACAACGTCTACGGCTGCCGCCACTCCCTGCCGGACAGCATCATGCGTGCCACGGACGTGATGATCGGCGGCAAGCGCGCGCTGGTTGCTGGCTACGGCGATGTCGGCAAGGGCTGCGCCTTCGCCATGCGCGGTGCCGGTGCCCGAGTGCTGATCACAGAGATCGACCCCATCTGCGCTCTGCAGGCGTGCATGGAGGGCTTCCAGGTGGTGACCCTCGAGGAGGTCGTCGGTGAGGTGGACATCTTCACATCCGCCACGGGCAACTTCAAGATCATCACCCTTGATCACATGAAGAAGATGAAGAACAATGCCATCGTGTGCAACATTGGCCACTTCGACAACGAGATCGCCATGGAGGACCTCGAGAAGTGCGCTGGCATCAAGGTGGAGAACATCAAGCCGCAGGTCGACCGCTTCGTGTTCCCAGATGGCCACGGCGTCATCGTGCTGGCCTCCGGCCGCCTGGTGAACCTGGGCTGCGCCACGGGGCATCCCTCCTTCGTGATGTCCTGCTCCTTCACCAACCAGGTGCTGGCTCAGCTGGACATCCTGGAGAACTGCACCAAGGCCAAGAAGTACAAGAACGACGTGTACCTGCTGCCCAAGAAGCTGGATGAGAAGGTGGCCGCACTCCACCTGCCAGCACTTGGCGCCAGCATGACCAAGCTGAGCAAAGAGCAGGCCGACTACATCGGCGTGCCGGTTGAGGGGCCTTTCAAGCCAGACACGTACCGCTACTAAGTGGCGGCGACGTTTCCGATTTTGTGCATATTTTGCGCGCCATGTGCAGTCCCTCCCGTTTGGCGCCCTGACAGGCCCGCCTGCAAGTGGATCCCGAATGGTGAGGCGGACGAGTCCGTGGCCAGGTCACAGAATGTAACAGCGAGTCGTGTACAGATTTTCAGCCAGAAAAGCACGTATCTCGAGCACTCGCATGCTCTTAGAGCAGTGCTTGCTATTTGGACCTTGAAAGCTATGCCCGATGCTCATGGTTTGTGATGCTTGCATTCAGGTGTCGCGTGACTGTGCCGGTTCCCAGCTTTGAAAGGCAGGCTCCCTTCTCCGGTCCCCGTTTTGTTCTCGTGCGCGCTTCGGAAGCATGGCCGACTCCAAGGTGAAGGACATGGGTCTGGCCGAGTTCGGCCGCAAGGAGCTGACGCTCGCAGAGCACGAGATGCCTGGCCTCATGGCCGCGCGCAAGGAGTTCGGGCCCTCGCAGCCATTCAAGGGCATGAACATCAACGGCTCCCTGCACATGACCATTCAGACAGGCGTGCTGATCGAGACGCTGTCTGCCCTGGGTGCGAAAGTGCGCTGGTGCTCGTGCAACATCTTCAGCACTCAGGACCACGCGGCAGCCGGCATCGCTAAGGCGGGCACCGCCACGGTCTTCGCGTGGAAGGGTGAGACTCTTCCCGAGTACTGGTGGTGCACGGAGCAGATGATGACCGTGCCCGGAGCCGATGGCTGCGACCAGCTGGTGGACGACGGCGGTGACGCCACTCTGCTCATCCACAAGGGCAAGGAGTTCGAGGAGAAGTTCGCCAAGGACGGCAGCCTGCCGGACCCCTCCAGCACCACCAATGCCGAGTTCAAGTGCATCCTGCAGCTGCTCAGGGATTCGATCCAGGTGGACAAGACCAAGTACACCCGCATGGCGGCCAAGTGCAAGGGCGTCAGCGAGGAGACAACTACTGGCGTGCATCGTCTGCGAGAGATGGCGGCCAAGGGCGAGCTCCTGTTCCCGGCCATCAACGTCAACGACTGCGTGACCAAGTCCAAGTTCGACAACGTCTACGGCTGCCGCCACTCCCTGCCGGACAGCATCATGCGCGCCACGGACGTGATGATCGGCGGCAAGCGCGCGCTGGTTGCTGGCTACGGCGATGTCGGCAAGGGCTGCGCCTTCGCCATGCGCGGTGCCGGTGCCCGAGTGCTGATCACAGAGATCGACCCCATCTGCGCTCTGCAGGCGTGCATGGAGGGCTTCCAGGTGGTGACCCTCGAGGAGGTCGTCGGTGAGGTGGACATCTTCACATCCGCCACGGGCAACTTCAAGATCATCACCCTTGATCACATGAAGAAGATGAAGAACAATGCCATCGTGTGCAACATTGGCCACTTCGACAACGAGATCGCCATGGAGGACCTCGAGAAGTGCGCTGGCATCAAGGTGGAGAACATCAAGCCGCAGGTCGACCGCTTCGTGTTCCCAGATGGCCACGGCGTCATCGTGCTGGCCTCCGGCCGCCTGGTGAACCTGGGCTGCGCCACGGGGCATCCCTCCTTCGTGATGTCCTGCTCCTTCACCAACCAGGTGCTGGCTCAGCTGGACATCCTGGAGAACTGCACCAAGGCCAAGAAGTACAAGAACGACGTGTACCTGCTGCCCAAGAAGCTGGATGAGAAGGTGGCCGCACTCCACCTGCCAGCACTTGGCGCCAGCATGACCAAGCTGAGCAAAGAGCAGGCCGACTACATCGGCGTGCCGGTTGAGGGGCCTTTCAAGCCAGACACGTACCGCTACTAAGTGGCGGCGACGTTTCCGATTTTGTGCATATTTTGCGCGCCATGTGCAGTCCCTCCCGTTTGGCGCCCTGACAGGCCCGCCTGGAAGTGGATCCCGAATGGTGAGGCGGACGAGTCCGTGGCCAGGTCACAGAATGTAACAGCGAGTCGTGTACAGATTTTCAGCCAGAAAAGCACGTATCTCGAGCACTCGCATGCTCTTAGAGCAGTGCTTGCTATTTGGACCTTGAAAGCTATACCCGATGCTCATGGTTTGTGATGCTTGCATTCAGGTGTCGCGTGACTGTGCCGGTTCCCAGCTTTGAAAGGCAGGCTCCCTTCTCCGGTCCCCGTTTTGTTCTCGTGCGCGCTTCGGAAGCATGGCCGACTCCAAGGTGAAGGACATGGGTCTGGCCGAGTTCGGCCGCAAGGAGCTGACGCTCGCAGAGCACGAGATGCCTGGCCTCATGGCCGCGCGCAAGGAGTTCGGGCCCTCGCAGCCATTCAAGGGCATGAACATCAACGGCTCCCTGCACATGACCATTCAGACAGGCGTGCTGATCGAGACGCTGTCTGCCCTGGGTGCGAAAGTGCGCTGGTGCTCGTGCAACATCTTCAGCACTCAGGACCACGCGGCAGCCGGCATCGCTAAGGCGGGCACCGCCACGGTCTTCGCGTGGAAGGGTGAGACTCTTCCCGAGTACTGGTGGTGCACGGAGCAGATGATGACCGTGCCCGGAGCCGATGGCTGCGACCAGCTGGTGGACGACGGCGGTGACGCCACTCTGCTCATCCACAAGGGCAAGGAGTTCGAGGAGAAGTTCGCCAAGGACGGCAGCCTGCCGGACCCCTCCAGCACCACCAATGCCGAGTTCAAGTGCATCCTGCAGCTGCTCAGGGATTCGATCCAGGTGGACAAGACCAAGTACACCCGCATGGCGGCCAAGTGCAAGGGCGTCAGCGAGGAGACAACTACTGGCGTGCATCGTCTGCGAGAGATGGCGGCCAAGGGCGAGCTCCTGTTCCCGGCCATCAACGTCAACGACTGCGTGACCAAGTCCAAGTTCGACAACGTCTACGGCTGCCGCCACTCCCTGCCGGACAGCATTATGCGCGCCACAGACGTGATGATCGGCGGCAAGCGCGCGCTGGTTGCTGGCTACGGCGATGTCGGCAAGGGCTGCGCTTTCGCCATGCGCGGCGCCGGTGCCCGAGTGCTGATCACAGAGATCGACCCCATCTGCGCTCTGCAGGCGTGCATGGAGGGCTTCCAGGTGGTGACCCTCGAGGAGGTCGTCGGTGAGGTGGACATCTTCACATCCGCCACGGGCAACTTCAAGATCATCACCCTTGATCACATGAAGAAGATGAAGAACAATGCCATCGTGTGCAACATTGGCCACTTCGACAACGAGATCGCCATGGAGGACCTCGAGAAGTGCGCTGGCATCAAGGTGGAGAACATCAAGCCGCAGGTCGACCGCTTCGTGTTCCCAGATGGCCACGGCGTCATCGTGCTGGCCTCCGGCCGCCTGGTGAACCTGGGCTGCGCCACGGGGCATCCCTCCTTCGTGATGTCCTGCTCCTTCACCAACCAGGTGCTGGCTCAGCTGGACATCCTGGAGAACTGCACCAAGGCCAAGAAGTACAAGAACGACGTGTACCTGCTGCCCAAGAAGCTGGATGAGAAGGTGGCCGCACTCCACCTGCCAGCACTTGGCGCCAGCATGACCAAGCTGAGCAAAGAGCAGGCCGACTACATCGGCGTGCCGGTTGAGGGGCCTTTCAAGCCAGACACGTACCGCTACTAAGCGGCGGCGACGTTGCCGATTTTGTGCATATTTTGCGCGCCATGTGCAGTCCCTCCCGTTTGGCGCCCTGACAGGCCCGCCTGGAAGTGGATCCCGAATGGTGAGGCGGACGAGTCCGTGGCCAGGTCACAGAATGTAACAGCGAGTCGTGTACAGATTTTCAGCCAGAAAAGCATGTATCTCGGGCACTCGCATGCTTTAGAGCAGTGCTTGCTATTTGGACCTTGAAAGCTATGCCGAATCCTTCGGCTCCAGAGAGGAGATTTGAGTTTAGGTTTAGGGCTTTAGGTTTAGGGTGTAGGGTTTACGGTTTAGGGCTTAGGATTTCGGGTGTTAGGGTTCAGGGCTTAAGGGGTTTAGGGTTTAGGGCTAGGGTTTAGGGTTTAGGATTAGAGTTGGTGTAGGCCTCAGGGCTGAGTTAAGCTTTAGGGTTTAGGGTTTAGGGTTTAGGGTTTAGGGTTTAGGGTTTAGGGTTTAGGGTTTAGGGTTTAGGGTTTAGGGTTTAGGGTTTAGGGTTTAGGGTTTAGGGTTTGGGGTTTGGGGTTTAGGGTTTAGGGGTCTTCGCCTCTGGAATGTCGTCTTTACCTGCGGATGGCGTGGTGACTTGCCGTGAAGCCCAGCCGGCCTCTGCACCCCCGAAGCCACGGTTTAGGGTTTAGGGTTTAGGGTTTAGGGTTTAGGGTATAGGGTTTAGGGTTTAGGGTTTAGGGTTTAGGGAAACCCGAAACCCGGCACCCTGAGCCCTAAATCCTAGACCCTAAGCCCTCATCCCTACACCCGAAGCCCGGAAGCCCCTGTAACTGCTACACCAACGCCAAAAGCGAAACTCCCGAAACTCCTCGACACTTTTCCCCCGAAACTCCTCGAAACTTCCCCGGACCTCAACCCTTAACAATCCCAATAAACCCGAAACCCTAAAACCCTAACACCACCAAGGCTTCAGCCGCAATGTCGCGGGAAATGCTGCCGAAGCAGCAGCCATTGGAAATTCCGGGGTTCTTTTCGCAGAGGCTGGGGTTCGGGGTTTAGGGTTTGGGGTTTGGGGTTTAGGGTTTAGGGTTTAGGGTTTAGGGTTTAGGGTTTAGGGTTTAGGGTTTAGGGCTCAGGGCTCAGGGTTCAGGGTTTAGGGTCCAAGGGCTTTGTAAGTTGAAGGTCCCTTTTGGGGCTCCTTTTGTTCTCGTGAGTCACCATGAGGCCCCTAAGCCCTAAGCCTTTGTGGGTTCCTGTTTTTGGTTCAATAAGGGTTTGCCCTTTTTTAAACATAGCACCTAGTGTTAAAGCAACATCCATCAGGTTGTGTGGCCTCGCGCTTGTGATGACGTGCGTCGTTCTCTCGGTGCTGGGGTTCTTGGCCTTCGCCAAGTGCGGCCTCTGCTCGATTCGCGTCGGCGAGCACTTGCACCTGCTCTCGCATCCTGCCTCTCCGTTTTAGCCTTCCGAAGATGCCCCCTAAGCCAAGAAGCGGGGCAGTTCTCGCAATTTAGGGCACCCCTTTTCTGGGGGTCTCCTCAGTATAAGGCCCTAGATGCGATGTAACGGGCGCCACAAGATATAGTCGTCTAGGGATCATGCCAAGTGACTCACCATCCAAGGGATCCAGAGCAACTTGCCGCCACCCAGTCCGCTTGGCATCTGCCGTGTTCGGACGCCTGCCGATCCGCCGCGGGCCAGGATGTGGTGGTCGTCAGCATCGATGTTCGAAGATCTTCCCTTGATGTTCGCCTGAGCTCTGGCACTACTCTAACACTGGCGCCCACGGCGGTGCGGGAGGTCGTCTGTTCGGACACCTGGGCGGTGACTGGCTTGGTAGTGGCGTGTATAGGCGCATCCATGAGCGTGGTGGTGATAGCTGTTTTTGCCGTGATGTGGTGTCAGATGGGCCATCATCACAAATTGCTCCGCGAGCGTATTGAACAGGGCAGTGCGCAGGCACGCAGGGTCCTTTTGAGTCAAGCCCGGTTTTGAAGCTATATACTTCCCCAAAAGATTCACCAGAAGGGCCCCTAATCCGGAGAAAACTGCCCAAACGTTCTAAGCAGCCTTGATACATTCTTGTGACATGTTCAGGTCTACCGCATGGTGCTCTCGGGCGATGCCGCCTGGCATTTCGCCAACATGGTCTATGGCCCAGGAGGCCACCGGCGCAAGCAGGCCTGCCAGGGCTTCCCTTGCCTCGAGCTGGGTGTGCTTCTGCCTCTCATGCTTACGCTGATGGTGCAAGCCCAGCTTGCTGTTGCTTTGGCCGGCTTGGGCGTGGCGGCCTTCCTTGTGTCCATCCGCCTGGGCCTGCTGCTTCACAGTGTCCTGATGTCACGGGCCCGGCTCTACAAGCGGACCACAGACATCGCCTTCTGCACCCTGCCGGAGGATCGGAAGATCTGCGTGATCTACAACGGCAGCATGCTGCTCTTCCGAAACATCGGGGATATACCGGCCCAGGGGCCCATCAACGCGCAAGGGCCCATGGATGCCCCTTCCCTTGCCCAGACGCAGCTGGTGGCGCGTCACGAGGTACCGGAGGACGACGGCACGCCCATCACGGGCTGGAGCTTGAGGATCTGCTACCTCACCTGGAACCTCGAGGGGAGTTATTTCTACGGAGCTCAAATTTTGACAGCTCTCTATATATGGGGGATTGTAGGATCCCTATGTGCGCTATTTACAGCCCTCTCATCGCCCTAAGGCTCCTAGACCCCCAAAACCCCCCAAAACCCAAGGGGCCCCCGAAGCCCTAAACCCTAAACCCTAAACCCTAAATCCTAAACCCTAAACCCTAAACCCTAAACCCTAAGCCCCAGGAACAAAGACCAGGGGTGGACGCCCCGCGAGCGGTTCTTTCCCGTGGACCCGGCGAGGCTGCATGACTTCCACCGATGGCTCATGGAGGCGCCAGGGGCGCATGCGGGATAGCTCGCAACTTCATAGAACCCGGGGGGGGGGGGGGGGGGGGGTTCGAGGGAGTGTGTGTGTGTGTGTGTGTGTGTGGGTGTGTGTGTGTGTGTGTGTGTGTGTGTGTGTGTGTGTGTGTGTGTGTGTGTGTGTGTGTGTGTGTGTGTGTGTGTGTGTGTGTGTGTTTGTTTATTTCGGGTTTAGGGTTTAGAGTTTAGAGCTTAAAGTTTAGGGTTTAGGAGGCGTTTTGTCCTTTTTCTCCGGGATAGGTTTACTCGATATTGCTCTGTTCTGTTCCCTTCTCTCAACCTTTGAGACCCTAAAGACCCTAGAGACCCCAAACCCCTAGACCCCCGAAACGCCCTAAGCCCTGAATCCTAAGCCAGAGCTAGGAATCCCAGTCCTGAACCCTAAGCCCTAAACAATACACCCTCAAACGTCTGTAAATCCTAAAACGCGTAAATCCCAGAGCCCTGAAAGGACGAGCAGCAGCGGCTCTTCCGCTTCGCCGGGGCGGCGCTGTCCACGTCCCAGATGCCCGCGACCACCAGGCGCGCCAACCCCAAGCTCTCAACTGCGATTGGCTTGAAAACCCTAAACCCTAAACCCTAAACCCTAAACCCTAAACCCTAAACCCTAAACCCTAAACCCTAAACCCTAAACCCTAAACCCTAAACCCTAAACCCTAAACCCTAAACCCTAATCTTGGGATGTTCACCCTTTTGCAAGCAGTCCTTCATCGGGATGATAATAGGAGGTAGTATTAGAATATCTATTAAGGACCGTTAGTACAAGGGGAAGCCTCCCAAGCTAAGTCCTACATGAGGCGTATTATCATAAAAGCACTCCCCTTTGCACAACCGCCGTCTTCAGTGATTGTGTCGCAAGATTTGAACACCCAAAAAGGACATAAGCATAAGCATTTTTATGGGGATATCCCTACCTTATTGGGCTTCACTATAAGGGGGTTTATATGGGATATCCCTTTGGGGCCCGAAAGATAGGCCTCGAGGACTGCAATGTCCTTATTGGATCGAAGCAAAAGCTAAAGGGGTTTGGCTAGACCACAGCACAATTGTACACCGATTCCTGTTCTTCGTCCAGAACAATAGTCGGGATCGCCAAGCTCCTGCGAAACAACCTCCCTGCAGGCGTCAAAGCGCGCAAAAAACCGTGCACGACATGTGCAAAACAATAGCCCTAACCCTTTACTCACCCTAAACCCTAGCCCTAAACCCTAAACCAAAACCCGAAACCCTAAACCCTAAACCCTAAGCCCTAAATCCTGAAACCCTAAACCCAGCCAGGCGGGCTCTGGCAGGTCCCAGCCAGCGCCAGACCGAGGAGGACTTGCCCCGTCGCACAGCTGCAGGGTTCACCTGGGAGTTTACGAAGGGTTTAGGGTTTAGGGTTTAGGGTTTAGGGTTTAGGGTTTAGGGTTTAGGGTTTAGGGTTTAGGGTTTAGGGACCCCAAATATGGACCCCTAAATAGTAGGATTCGCTTGTAATGAGGACCCCAATAAGGTACCCCTAATTTCGGAAAACCCCACCAATTCATGGTTGAGTTGTTGTTGCTTGTTGTCATTCTTGACTTGTTATTGTTTGATTATTGATTGTTCTTGTTGTTGTCACTATGACTATGATTGTTATTATGATGACTCTTCTGTGCAGTGCCTATTTACTTAGTTCTCGAGCTTTACTTTAGTCTAGAGCCACCCTTCTCCTTGGTATTGCGGGCTTGGGGTGTCAACGCACACAGACTCTATGGGTGGTGGTTTTCTTCGACAGTTCTTGATTCCCCTGCAAGCTCAACGTAAATTGACTTTGTTGTCGGACATGAGGAGTTGTGAATGTTGTTTAGATCGGAAGAAGTGCATCTTGTATGTAGGTACCTGACCATACCTATGGGTAACAAATCCATTATTGCTGAGAGAGGAGCACAGTGTTTGAAGGCGCTTGACTGTTTGTGTCACTACTGCACGGCATCAGCCTAAATTTGTTCGCACATGCCTCGTGCTTAAACCCTAACGAAACCCTAGACTCTAAACCCCCTAAGCCCCCTAAGCCCCCTAAGCCCCCTAAACCCCCTAAACCCCCTAAACCCCCTAAACCCCCTAAACCCCCTAAACCCCCTAAACCCCCTAAACCCCCTGAACCCCCTAAACCCCCTGAACCCCCTAAACCCCCTAAACCCCCTAAACCCCCTAAACCCCTTAAAATTCCCAAACCCCCCAAACCCCCCCCTAAACCCCCTAAACCCTCTGAACCCTAACACCCTAAAGCCCTAAACCCTCAGTTTTGTGTGACATGCTCTCGTTGTCCTGGTTGCTTGCAAACCAAGCCAGAGACCGTTGTGATGGTTCATTCGAGCTGTCGCTGCTTCAGTTCTGCCCCCCAGGTTTAGGGTTTAGGGTTTAGGGTTTAGGGTTTAGGGTTTAGGGTTAGGGTTCAGGGCTTAGGGTTTAACCCTTACACCCTAATCGCAAAACCCTCAACCTTAAACCCTAAACCTAAGCCGGATAACTTGAGCTTCGTGTTTAGGGCTTAAGGGCTTTAGGGTTCTTGGGGCTTTAGGGTTTTTAGGGTTTGAGGGTTGCTTTGGGGTGTTCAGTGATTCTGGGTTTTTGTTCTTGAGGGCTTTTAGGGTTTTCGTTTTTTTGGTTCATGTCCTTTCTTTTTGCTTCATTATCGTGCCCGAGCCCCCGGACCCTTGACCGGAAGAGGCGCCCCAAACGCAATCCCCCTAAGGGCAGAGCCATGAGCCCCAGACCCAGAAACCCTAAACCCTAAACCCTAAACCCAAAACCCCTAAACCCTGAACCCTAAACCCTGAACCCTAAACCCTAAACCCTAAACCCTAAACCCTAAACCCTAAACCCTAAACCCTAAACCCTAAACCCCCCGCAGCAATCTGTACTGAGGCATGCTGATGCAGACGCAGGTGCTCGCCATTCACACCGACGACGGCCGGGACCTTCGGCTCCTGTCCTTGGCGGGCGAGGAAGTGGCCCGAGTCCTGGTGCCTTACTGTTGGTTAGTAGGGTTTAGGGTTTAGGGTTTAGGGTTTAGGGTTTAGGGTGTAGGGTTTAGGGTGTAGGGTTAATGAATGAGGGTACCCCTATATAATCCCTTAAAGGGTATATGTTAGGGGGGATATGGGTAACCAATAGTAAGGTACATGACGCGGAGCTTGTAGCGGACGTGCTGCACCGGGTTTGCGTGCGGCCAGAGTTCGGGGGCTCTGAGGCAGCTCAGACATCCTTGAAACTTTTTTGTCTTTGGGTTTAGGGTTTAGGGTTTAGGGTTTAGGGTTTAGGGTTTAGGGTTTAGGGTTTAGGGGTTAGGGTTAAGGGTAGAAGGTTGTCCGCGAAGAACGAGGAAGGAGAGAGCTACCTTATCTCATATAGTTTCGAAGGCATTTTCCTAACATTCAGTGGTACCGGGCTCACTGGCAGGTGAAGATCGTGCTACCCGGTGGGCAGACCTTGGACAGGATTGACCCGAAGCTCACGATTCAGCAGATTCGCCCTCTGCTTCTCAACGTCTCCTCGGAACTGGCTTAAAATAGGGGCCTTAAGAATGAGAATGGGGGTTTACCCGAAGACCTGAGTCCCAAATCCTAAACCCCAAGCCCCACCCTCCGTGGCAACGTGGCACATCACTATCAAAACTCCAAGCTCTTAGACCCTGAGCCCTAAGCCCCAAACCTGGAAAGAACATACAGAACTCTCGTGGCCTCTCATTTGTACAGAGTCCCTGGCCGAGTGGGTGCTTGACCTGCGCGTGTTTGGGCTTCCTTCTGGTGGGAGTTCTTGATTGCGCAGAAAAGGAGCAAGGTATCGTCTTAGACCCTAAAGCAATGTAGCTTGGCTGGGGCGGCTTTGCGTGGCTCGGGTTTGGGGCATGTCTTCCCACCACGGAGCCCGAAGCTTGGAACCTTTCAACCCGAAAAAAACCCTGCCAGCCCGCCCCATGACTCCCATCGGCTCCCATGCCCTAAATGCCAGGTGAAAACCCTGAGCCCTGATTTCCCCAAAGCTCCTACAGCCCAAAAGGGCATTGTTTTGGGGCCTATAGGGTCTCGAAGGATGTTAAGCGTTTGTTGTTTTAGGTTTCCAGAACCACCATCCCCCCGAGCAGCCGGCACGCATGTGACACTTTGGCCCGAGCTGGCGAGCAACCAGCAGGTACTAGGCATGATGGACGCGGTCCTTCTCAGGTAACTTTGCGACTCGCGCATTTCTACTTGGCAGAGCAGTCTCACAAAGGACAAAGACGCAAGGTGTTCCAGCAGCACGCGTTAGAGAAGTAGGGCCACCTAAGGAAGCTCTAAGCGATTCAAGCTCTGCACTCCCCCGGCAAGAGTAGTAGGACACAGCGTGGGCTCGTGGGCGTCTGGAAATTCCTAGGCGTCGTGCAGGAGCCTCAGGAGCAGCGTACTTCAGCAGGCACACCTCCCAAAGCCTCTTCCCGCCCCGCCCCCACTCCCCCCAAACGCTAAAATAGAATCCTTAAACCAAGCCCTTTTGACTTAGTAAGTGGGTTCTCGGGATTATAGGAGGTTTTCTAGGCGATACTAAGTAGACGTACTGAGTCACAAGAGCTTCCAGGAACCCTAATGTTGGACTTGCTTGAGCGGCGAATAAAGTCGAGTTGGTCGGGCTTTACAATCAATCGCCGGGCATCTCTGTCCCTCTTAAACTCATGTAAACGCATCCCTGTTACCATCATACAAAATCCCGGGACCCTCTGAACCCTAAGCCCTAAGCCCTAAACCCTAAACCTTAAACCCGAAACCCCAAACCCTAAACCCTAAAAGCCCTAAACCCGAAACCCCAAACCCTAAACCCTAAAGGCCCTAAACCTAAACCCTAAACCCTCAACTCTAAACCCTAACCCTAAACCCTAAACCCTAAACCCTAAACCCTAAGTCTAAACAGGGCCAAAATCAGCTTCGACTGCGCAGGGCCGAAGCCCTAAGAGGCTAAAGGGCTCTAGGAGACCTCGGGTTGAGGGTTTCGGGTTTACGGTTTAGGGCCCTTCACACGGTCCCCTAACCTCCTTTAAATGGTTCTGAAGTATGGGCCCTTAATTCGTACAGGGCATATAAGGGGCATATAAGGGATACCTTTCTAAGGGCCCATACCATCAACCTTCTTGCTTAGACCACTGTTGCACCCTAGTAGACAGCGGGTTTGGGGTTTGGGGTTTCGGGCTCAGGGGTTAGGGCTTAGGACTTTAGGCATGTGGGGCTCTGAGCCAGATGTTCGGGTTACGGGGGGGCCCTTCATCCAACTTTTAGAGCCTTATGGGGTCTCCATTGTGGTTCGGATCCTTGTAGTTTGGGGTACCCACAAACCCTAAACCCTAAACCCTAAACCCTAAACCCTAAACCCTAAACCCTAAACCCTAAACCCTAAACCCTAAATTTAAGAGCCTGCGGCTCAAGCCGCCCACCCCGCTGGAGCATAGTTGAGAGCTCTAAACCCGCTCGCATGGTTCGAAGATCATCCCAGCCTGCTCGGCAGAGTTCTGTGAAACGTTTGGGGGGGGGTAGGGCCAGGACAAGCTCAAGCCAAAAAGACAGGTGGGTGGGGTGGGGGAGTGGGGTGGGGGGGGCGGGGGTGGGGGGGGGGTTTGGGGGGGGGGTGGGGGGGGGGGGGGGGGGGGTGGGGGTAGGGGGGGGGGGGTGGGGGGGGGGGGGGGGGGGGGGGGGGGTGGGGGGGGGTGGGGGGGCAGAAGACGCTGATTTTGCTGGGGGCGCCCCTAAACCTCCACAAAGGCTCATCATTTAGCTCAAAAACCCAAAAACCCTAAAAGCCTCTGCAGCCTTGAAGCCTGGTTTAGACTTTGGGGTTTTGGGTGCTAGGGCTGGGGTCCCTGAACCCTAAACCCTAAACCTTGAACCCTAAACCCTAAACCCTAAACCCTAAACCCTAAACCCCAAACCCCAAACCCTAAACCCTGAACCCTAAACCCTCAACCCTCAACCCTAAGATCTAAAGGGTTTAGGATTTTGGGGTTTAGTGCTTAGGGTTGCCTCCGCTTAGTGTAGGGCTCTTTGGTGTTCCCTTCGCTGGAGATCTTGGGGGACCCTAAACCCTAAGGCCTAAACCCTAAACCCTAAACCCCTAAGCCCTAAACCCTAAACCAGCGCCCAGGCGATCCCGCGATGGCGGGCAATCTTGGGGGGAAGAAGCCTGCCACCGGCTCCTTGGACTTCAGAACCTTCGAGCTTATGGGGATGTAGGGTGCCCCCTAAAATCCCCAAGCCCTAGTGACTTCAAGCTGATCCTCACGACGGCTAAACATGAGACTGCACACACACAAAGGGTTCAGGGTTTAGGGTTTATGGGTTTATGGGTTTATAGGTTTAGGGTTCAGGGTGCAGGAAATGTCCGGGGTCTACGGTTTGGAGTTTGGGGCGCGGGTTTAGGATCAAGGGTCTTAGGCTTGAGGGTAAAACCCTCAGTAAATCCTGAGCCCCATGCCACACAAACCCCAAAAAATCACACACCACGCCCTAAACCCTAAACCCTAAGCCCTAAACCCTAAACCCTAAACCCTAAAGCCTCAAACCTCTGCAGGCACGAACATCCGGCAGTTTCGCTCCGGGGATCCCATGGACGAGAAGGCCGCGAGGTTTAGGGTTTGGGGTTTAGGGTTTAGGGTTTAGGGTTAGGGTTTGCAGAGTTTGGGGTTCAAGGTTCAGGGTTTGGACTTTGGGGTTTAGGGTTTCGGGTTTGGGGTTTAGGGTTTAGGGTTTAGTGGGTTTTTGGGTTCTTGGGTTTCGGGCTTGGGATGGGGGGGGGGGGGGGGGGTGGAAAAATCTAAACCCTCCCCTAACCCTAGGCCCTAAGCTCTAGCCAAAACCCTCAACCCTGGACCATGGGCCCGAAACCCTTAAACTCCTAAATGGTAGCCCCCCTGACCCCCCCTGAACACCTCAAGGTGTAAACCCGTAAACCCGTTTTCCCGTTAAACCCCACAAATCCTGATTCCTGAACCCTAAACCCCAAACCCTAAACCCTAAACCCCAAACCCTAACCCTGCACCTTAAACCCTAATCCAGAGCGCGACCAAAGTGATTCCTCATCAACCTTTGGGCGTGCTCTTTGGGGGTGGGTTAGGAAGTTTAGGGTTTAGGGTTTAGGGTTTAGGGTTTAGGGTTTAGGGTTTAGGGCTCGTCGCCCACTTCGTTTGTGGCTGAAGGTTTCAGGGTTTACCCCGAAGCCCTAAACCCTAAACCCTAAACCCTAAACCCTAAACCCTAAACCCTAAACCCTAAACCCTAAACCCTAAACCCTAAACCCTAAACCCTAAACCTTAAACCCTAAACCCTAAAGCCCCTGCGGACAGGAGTCCAACCGAACGCAGATCCGACTTGCTTGTGCTGTTTGTGTTTGGGGGTGTCCAGGGTTTCAGATGTTCAGGGCTAAACCCTAAACCCTAAACCCTAAACCCTAAACCCTAAACCCTAAACCCTAAACCCTAAACCCTAAACCCTAAACCCTAAACCCTAAACCCTAAACCCTAAACCCTAAACCCTAAACCCTAAACCCTAAACCCTAAACCTTAAACCCTAAACCCTAAACCCTAAACTCTAAACCTTAAACCCTAAACCCTAAACTCTAAACCCTGAACCCTAAACCCTAACCCTAAACCACCCTTAGCAGGAGAGTTGAGGCTTCAGAGGGAGCCTTAGGGTCCTCGACCATTCTCAACCCTAGACCCAAACCCTAAACCCTAAACCCTAAACCCTAAACCCTAAACCCTAAACCCTAAACCCTAAACCCTAAACCCTAAACCCTAAACCCTAAACCCTATACCCTAAACCCTAAACCCTAAAAACCCTAAACCCTAAAAACCCTAAAGACCCTAAACCCTAAACCTTAGGATTTAGGGTAGCTACATGGTCTTCTTTGTGCCGTGTTCAGGCAGACTTGCTAGACACGCGAACGATGCTTAGGGACCCTCGGATAGTTGTTTTTTGTCGGAGCTGCATGTCTGGCACGTTCCTTGCTGGAGTTCCAGGGTGGTTTTCAGCCAGTCTTCGCCGTAAACCCCCTGCACCCTAAACCCTAAACCCTAGATCCTAAACCCTAAGCCCTAAACCCTAAACCCTAGACCCTAAAACCCTAAACCCTAAACCCTAAACCCTAAACCCTAAACCCTAAACCCTAAACCCTAAACCCTAAACCCTAAACCCTAAACCCTAAACCCTAAGCCCTAAGCCCTAAACCCTAAACCCTAATTTTAAGGTTATGTTATTTACGGTGCAGGGCCGAGAGGTTGTAAGCTTTAGGGATTTTCAAGTTAATAGGTTTGGTTGAGGACGTCTTTTCGCATTCTCCCTTCACGGGGGCCCCGGGCGTCTGCCAGGTGGGAGTGCTTGAAGCACGCAATTCACCAAATCCACCAGCACAACGCGTCCTCCCTTTCCTTCGAGGACCTCAGCAAGGATTAGGCTTGAAGGTTTAGAGCTCGTATGGGTTCAGGGCTTAGGGGTTCAGGGCTTAGGGGTTCAGGATTGAGGGTTTAGGGTTTTCAGAGACCTTGGCCC